ACTCCACTTATCATCGTGATCCTTCTGTGCACGAACCTTCACTTCACCTTCACTTCTCTCTCCACCTCCTCAATCAGTCTCGCAGCGAACGTGGACCCCTCACAGTCATCCCAATCCTCCCCTTCTTCTGTGTCTTTTGTCTTCCCCCCTTGGCTTCGCTCTCCTTTTCCTTGCCATTCCTCTACTCCCCTCCCTTCCCCTCTCCTTTCCTTCTTGCAGCCGTTATATGCCTCCCGTTCGCTTGCCTTTCACCTCACAATCACTCCATTCACTGCCACTCCCTTCACTCTCACTTGCACTGCTTGCACCCAGTTTACTGTCACTCTTATCTGCCAACACTGTCCTCTGTGTCGCTCTCCTCTGTATCACTTTCATCCCCTTCGGATTCCCTCCCTTCACTATTATCACAATCCACCTCGCTGTCACCCAATTGCCTCTCATCACTTCCATCCCCCTCCTCTACCGCATCACTGTCCTCAATCACACTCTTTTCAATCGAAACTTCTTCCCTCCCATCAACTTTCCTCTCCCCTCTCCCTCTCTTACCTTTACCCCTTTTCCCTTTTCCCTTCCCTTCCTCCTCCTCCTTCCTCCTTTCTCCCTCCTCCTTCCTCTCCCTCTCCCTCACCTCCTCCCTCACTCTCTCCACAAAAGCCGACCCATGTGCCATAGCTGCTTCAGCATCATCCCTATGCAACAGAAAGAACCCCTGCAGTGCAGCCGGGCTCACCTCCCCCTCCTCAAACAACCCCGCAAACCGCTCTGCATCCCCCTCCGAAGCTTCAGCATAGAACCTCAGGAACAGGCGAGCAATCTGGCTGCGGCTAGCAAGCCCTAGGAACATCCGGAAGTCCACCCGCCCGGGGCGAATCAGCGCAGGATCCAATCTCTCTATATGATTCGTCGTCATGATGACGATCTGCTTCTCCTGGGCGGCAATCCCGTCAATCGCATTCAGAAGCCCGGAAAACGACAACCCATCGGCTCGGCTGCCCTCCGTCTTGGCCCGCGTGGCGGTGAAAGCAGCGTCGATGTCCTCCAATACAATCACATCCCGCTCCTCACAGTCAACCATGGCACTGTGCAGGGAGTCATCGCTCATACCCGAGGAAGATAGGCTTATGAGCGACACTCCAAACTCCAGCTCTCCTGCTAGAGCTTGAATCAGAGAGGTTTTGCCGCACCCAGGCGGCCCGTGGAATAGGTACCCCCGCCTGTGCGAGATACCCTGATCTGTATACCACTTTGCACTCGCTAAGAACTGCTTTGCGTCTTGGATAAGAGCCGCGTCGTCGAAGTCGAGAACCACTGTAGATACCAGGCGGCACGCCCGGTCACCCAGGTACTTCCAGTAATTCTCATCTGCGCTCCACCGCTTCACAGACATCGTCTTTTTCTCGACCTTCTTCGCGATGGATGCATCAGCAGCAGCTTGCACTACTGCTAGGAGCACGGCCTGTGAGGGGGCTTCTATCACGAGCTCTTCTCGGTTCATGGAGCGAAGGATGTCGCCGAACTCGGCCCCGTGGTCCAGCTGACCCGGGCTGTTGCTCATTTGAATGCACACCTGGGGAAGGGGGGGAGAGTAGAGAGAGAGAGAGGGGAGGGAAAATGAGAGAGGTCGTGTGAGGAGGGGATCGGGGAATGGGTGGAGAAGAGAGGGAAGTGATATGGAAAAGGTGTAGAGACTCCGACTCAACATGCGGAACAAACACGAGCATGATGATGTATGTGTAATGGCACTATGACTCCTATTCCGAATCATGAAATATATGACACATTCTGAATCAGAACATAACTTACCTTTGCACCGTTGAATGTGATGTGTTGCGCCACCTTTAGCTTGGGAAGAAAATTAATCACCGGCTTATGAGGGTCCACGTCATTACCCTCCTCGTCCTGCCACTTCACATTAAGAGTGAACTCGGACGGCCTCATCTTCTTATAATCGTTCAGCCACTCCCGGATCCAGATGAACGCCTCGTCATTAGGCGAGATCGTTACAGTCACATTTCCCCTGTGCCGCATCCAATCAACCGACCAGTGGAACCAGCTTAGTAAATATCTGCCCAGCAGACCGATCGCGACGAGCCAAACGCTGCCCGCGAAAAAATCGTTGTGGAGGTATTGTTGGAGAAACCCGTCAAGAATGGGGCTAAAGGTGGAGAGGAGGGTGATTGTGAAGGGGTAAAGCGGGGACGACGCGGGGAGCACCAGATTGAGCACGCTCTGCGCCAGGAAAAGCGCGGGCTGATTCTGAAAGCCGATGTGACTGTACGCGTGCGTTCCATTATCGGTGTCATTGAACGACTCGCCGAAGCCTGCTGGCGACTCATGATCCGCATCGCCGCCGTTCAAGAAGGAATGGCCACCTAAGAATCCGGCGTGGACGGGTGGAAAACCGCCGTGGATGGGTGATGGGAACATGACGGACGTCAGCAAATCTACTGCGCCTCCCAGCCCGCTCATGCTGTTGGGCAGCATTCCGGGCATCGCGGCCCCGTTAGCTACGACTGCGCTTGCCGCGGCTTGCTCCATTGGCAAAAGTGCTGAGAAAATAACTTATGCGCGAGCGTCCGCGGTTTTGAACGAGCGAACGAGTGATATTGACAGGAAATGCGTTCGCTTCGCACGGTGAAAAAATGTTAAATGTGGAGAATCGCGATGAGTCAGAATTGAACTACGCAACCCCTGGAGCTTATTGTGAAATGTCCACCTGGCAGGTAAATAAATGACTCGTTCTGGACTGGAGTGTCGGTGACTGGAGCTCCCGTCCCGAGCCGCTAAGACACACAAAGCTGTATTGATTCCTCCTCCCACAGTTCCTTGAGCCACAATCCAGTCCGACCTAGAAATTGCCATCTCGAGCTTGCCCCACCTACACGCCACCTAAGGGCGGGTCCCAATAATTCACACTCTATTCATTTCGTGAAAAGTAACCTGATTTTAACCTCGTTTGGGCTTCGCGGGGACACGTGCGCGAAATTGACGTAACTCGGGACGCTCGACGCTGTTAGGATTAAGGACGGAGTCTAGGTGAACTTAGGAGCTAGAATTACTCAAAATATAAATCCGAAATTCTGGACAAAAAAGTCGTCTTCACAAGAAACGACGTCGACGAAACTAGCCGTTGGAATGTCGCGAAACTTGGATATGTTGTAGCTCTTAATCTCAGCTACCGTTCCCAATTTGAATCATGTTGATTGATGAAGTATTCGCGACGCTATGGCTTTCGACGCACTAGGGGGTAAGCTGTAGGAGGAGAACTTAACTCAATCTCAAGAGTTCAATCAAAGTTCAAGAATCTCACAAGGAATTAGAGGAGCAAGAGAAAGGTTGGGATAGAAAGAGAGGGACGAGAGGTAAGGTCCCAAGAGAGTCCCCAACCAAGGAAACCCCATAAGCACAAAGATTCCCTCCCTATAGGAACCCCAATTTTGACATTTGTCCCTTCCCAACCAATCCATCCAAGTTGGCCACCCTTGCCAACCTAGCTTGGTTGTTCCCAACCTATTTGCAGCTGTTACAGTAGAGTGACAAATTTCCCCAACCCCCAAAGGTCCCAACTCCATATAGAGTCACCCCACAACTTCACTTCGTAACCGCCGCAATTGTAACGCAAGCTCATGAACTTTGAATCTTCATAGCTTTCGCGTTCTTGCTCCGATTGAAGGGATTCTCGTTGCGTCGGAAAGATCTTCTCAAGATCTATCATCACAAATACCTGCTCAAACAAAAATAACACAAAACACATTCCCAAACTCCAGAACACACCACACAAATTCTTTCACACGTTCAAACCACACATGCGAATTGAAACAAGAGATGAGAGGCAGACAGAATGTGATAGCATATGATGACATCACACAACAGACGCATGTGAATGCACATGATTGGTTTACGTTTCGGTGACGTTCGGTTTACGTTTTGGTGACGTTAGGTTTACGTTTTGGTATCGGTGGATAGGTGTGGCGCTTTGGGGTTTCGCCAAGCCAGGCTTGGCGAGAACAAGGCGACCTCGCGACCATCTTGCGTGGCGCAACGCCAAATCACACCTGCCACTTAACACAGCACGAACCATTTGTTTCGCGAGTTGCGACATTTGGTAACTGCGATTTGGGGCGTCTGACACAAACCCTTTTTTGGAACGCACCCAGTTGGCGCCAGCTTCTGTTTCATTCGCAATACGAGACGCGGTTTAGGGAGGAAACGATTTTGGGATCGTTTTCAGTTGTCGTACCCGAATTCGTCAAAACGTGTCCAAAACCCCCAATTGAACTATTGGGACCCGCCCTAATGTACCTCACACAGAATTCCCACTGCTTTTCCCGCCATAAAATTTGACCGGCTTGTGGCTTTTGTGGATCACCCTGACGCCTGGGGATTGTGTTATTTCGTGAGCTGTCGAACTCTCGCACGGGTCTGCGAGTTACGAAAAACTCGTCGTTTACCACACGCATTCTAACGCGAGGATGTGAAAACGCGTGCGAGGGCAATCAATTTCGTGGAAACGAGATGGCGTGTGAGAGACGTCATTGCACCCTCTTTGTGCTGCTGCGCTAAAGCCTAATAGTTCTCGAAGGGTAACACATGAGAAATGGGCATAGGATACTTGCAACTAGTTGATTGTAATACCAGATGCCCATGCGAGAAATCCCATTCCAATGTGCTACCACCCAGCTTTAGGGTAAATCACATGAGAAAAAAAAGAAGAGGTGGAATATGCGCCTTCTGAAAGCAGAGGCGCCTGCTTATGTCATGTGACACGTCGCGTCAACGATGTACAGTAGTTGTTTCCTCTTGATCCCTTCATCGTTCTCTCACAGTGCAGCTGACCCTCCTCTTCGACTTCACCCCCACTCTCTGCCCCAGCACCTGTGCCCAGCCCCCATCATCCTCCTCCACCTCCCCATCCCCCCCACCAGCTGACTCAATAACAACATTACTACGCTCCTGATCTCCTACTCCCAACCCATTATCGACCATCCCTCGCCTCACACCCCCAGCCACATCAGCACCCCCAGCAGCCCGAGCCAGAGCTGCAGCAACCTTTGCTGCCTGAACCCCTGTAACATCTCCCACATAGCCATGCTCCCCATGCACCCCACGCTCCAACTCACCGTGCTGCCCCCTGGCCCCTACCATCCCATGCACCATCCCACTCGCACTCAACCTCCTCTGGTCCCTACCCCCATTGTTACCGACACTCTTGCTCTTCCCACGCACCTCCCCCACCACCGGGCCAACCAGATAATGACACCCGGCGGTTGGGTTTCCCTCCTCCACCTCGCCCTCCCCCTCCTCCCTTCCCTCCCAGTCCTTCCCCTAGAAGCTCCCAGGCATCAAGTTCCTCATCCTCCTCTTCATCTTCCTCCTCATCCCACTCTTCCTTTTCCTCCTCCTCATCCTCCTCCGCCTCCTCTCTCATAACCCCTTGCACACCCGTGCTCTTCCCCACCGTCCCTCCACCCTTCTCCTTCTCTTGCCTCTCCGTCTTCCCCTTCCCCTCCCCTTTTCTCCTGGCAGCCTTCCAGAGCTTTCTGATCGCTTTGCTCCAGGGATCCTTGCCTCCGCTGCTGCTGTTGCTGCTGCGTGCAGTCTTCGCGTGATTCTTGCTCGAAACGACAGGAAGCTTCGTAGTAGCAGCAGCAGCAGCAGCAGCAGCGGGGGCAACAGTAGCAGTAGTAGCAGCATTAGGAGAAGCACCAGCAGTAGCAGCCGATTTCGCGAAAGCAACAGCAGTGGGAGTACCAGCAGAAGAAGCGGAATCAGCAAAACCATCAGCCCCCAATGCATGAGTGTCACTTGCACCAGCTTTTGCAGGCAGGTTGTTGCTGCTGCTGCTCTTACCCATGGCTCCCAGCCTTGCCCAACCTGAGAGCAAGGCTCGGCGCTGAAGAGAGAGAGCCGGTTGGGGATAAGAGGTGGTGACTCCCAGATGGAGTGGCAGCCGCAGCAGCAGGAGAAGCAGGAGAAGCAGCACCTTTGAAAGCCGTGCCCCCTGTGCTTGTCTTAACCAATTGCGGCTGCCACTCTTCCTCCTCTTGCGCTCCCCCCCTGGCTTCCATACTCACCTGCTGCTGCTGCTGCAGTTTCTCCAGGGCATTCTCCTGGGAATTTTCCTGGGTGCTTGGCTGCTTCTGCGACTGTGGACCTACCAGGACGTTCCAGGGGTCTCTGGGCGAGAGGCGGGGCAGGTGCTGCGATTGGCTCAGAGGCAAGCTGTTCCAAGGATTGTCACTCACACGACTGGCAGCAGTTACCGTGCCTGGAGTAACAGGGTCCTTAAGAGGATTCTCACTAAGTCCCAGGTGCTGAGACTGGCTCAAGAGCTGTTCCACATGCTGTCGCTCACACGACTGGCAGCAGTGATCCCACTTTTAGGACTGGCAGCAGATATCTCACTCTTAAGACTGGCAGAAGTTACCCTGCTTGTAGTAACAGTGTCCTTTTGAGGGCTCTCAGTAAGGAGGAGGAAGAGGCAGACAAGCCGGCACTTGAAGCAGAGAGGCCAGTACCGGTGGAAAAGGCTATGGAGCCAGGGGAGACAGTGGGTCAGAGTCATCCTCGTTAGAGCACAACTCGTTACAAGCTGCCGCCGCCGATGCTGCTTCTCTCTGCCTGGCATATGCTCCCTTGCGTTTGTCCTCCTCCAGCAATACACCCTCTCTCACACGACCACCACCCAGTCGGTGCCTGGGGCTGCTGACGTGGCCCTTGGAGCTGCTGACGTGGCCCTTGGAGCTGCTGACGTGGTGGCTAGGACTATTGTCCGAGGGAAGTTGGAATGAAGGCATGGTGGTAGAGCGGGGAGTGAGAGAGTTGGGGGTGCCAGCAAGGGGCTTGCCGGCACAGGGAGTTCCTGATAACGGACTGCTTATATTGCTAAAGGAGCTGCCTATAGTGAGTATAGTTGCTCTCGCCACCAGCCAGATTGCTACTGCTGTTGCTGCTGCGGATACCCTTCTTCCCACTCTTTTCCTTTCCACTCCCATCCTTGCTGCTCCCTTTCCCCCACAGGGTGAACCTACTCACACTTTACTCTTGTCCCACCTCCAGGCTATTGGAGTAGACCTCCGGAAGATTGCCAGCATTAGCACTGGCGGGGCTGCTGTCATGCTCGGCTCTCGAGGAGGGCTTGTCGCTCGATTGAGGGTGCGTATAGCACAGCTCGTCTCGTGTCACAGCATTGCTCTCAGGTAAGTGACGAGCGCATGACACTCTGACCCCAGATTACACCGTTCCTTTACTTGCTGGCACTGTTTTGTGGATACACGCAGGGAGGCCTTGGCGGCAAAGGCAGCGGCAGAGTCTAACCCCGCCTTCGTCATGGTGGATGATTTCATCAAGGGCATCGCGGAGTTTCTTGGCCGGTCTGGTCCCTGGCACCAGCGCTTCATGGACCTGCAAGACGAGCTTTCCTCAACGAACCTGGATCAGCAGGGGATACACGACATTAGGTGGCTCTCCCGTGCTGAGGCTGTCTTGAGGCTGCTTGCTGTTCTTCCGGCTATTGTTGTCATGGTGACAGAGATGGGCAGCGCCAAGTTGTTGGCGATTTTGAGAAGTTAACGCTTCTGGTTTTACCTTCATTTCCTTGCTGCCCTGCTTGAGCAACTGAACATCCTCAACTAGATCTTCTAGCAGAGAGAGGTAATTGGTCCGAACAAGGGTTGTGTGTTAACTGCGAAACAAACTCTCTCTCTCTAAACACTCTATCCCACCACCTCTCTTGGCAGCTGGACTACACCACGGTCCAAGGGCAGATCACGCAGGCGACGAGCATCATCGAGAGTTGTTGCGTCGACTGCGACGGCGACTTCGGCGGATCCCCGAGGGAGCGGCTCGTGCAGTTTATCATCCGTCACGGTCCTGGCAGTTCCAACAAGGTCACCGTTGATGAGGTGGATTCTCTGCTAACTCCTGGCCGCCGAGCTGGGAGCACAGCATCAGGTACGTACAGTGTCTGGAGTGGTACCAGGAGCTGATCAAACTCATCCGCGCTGAGGAGAACCCCGAGATCCTTCCATGTGCTGGAAATCCGGCAGGATTGCGAATCGTAAACGCATATGTCTCCTCCACCTTGAGCCTCTTGTCCATCCCTGGTTAACCATGTTCCCTTCCCCATATGTGTGGCTCGATGTGTTGCAGGCGTCGACAAAAGAGGGGCGGAGAAGGAACTGCGGCACTTCGTCCCCATGCTGGCCCGTCTCAGCACGACAGTGCTCAAGACAGTTGTGTGGCAGATCCATTACCCCAACCTGGTGGGATTGTGGGTGGCTGTGGCAGTTCTGCCGCTCAGTACTATAGAATGTGAGTGGGGTTTCTCCCAACAGAATCTCTTCAAGAGCTGGCAGCGGGGTAGTCTTAAGGATACTAGGTTATCTGACTTAATGTGCATGTCGATTCTAGACTATGCGCCGGACTAGGATGCGGTGGTGAAGATCTGGCGGGCCTACACGAAGAGGCGACTATTCTGTCAAACATATTTTGTATATGTCTTATAGGCTAGATAGGTGCGTACTCTTAGAGGGTACAACCCGTTAGACAAAACCAACGTGTTTGCATCATTGTAGTCATTCATTCTCATGTTGATATGGTATCACGCTAGGTTAGGTCCCCCCCCCGCCCACCCCTCTTCCGCCTTAGGCCTAGTCCTAGCCGCCCCGTTAGCGCCCCGCTGGCACCGTTAGCGCCGCACTGGCCCCTTAGCGCCCCGCTGGCCCCGTACGCCCTGCTAGCCCCGTAGAGCCCCGCTGGCTCCTTAGCGCCCCATTGGCCCCGTTAGCATCCTGCTGGCCCCGTGCGCCCCGCTGGCCCCGTATACCCCGCTGGCCCCTGAACGCCCCACTAGCCCCGTTACCGCCACGCTAGCCCCGTGCACCCCGTTGGCCCCGAACGTCTCGCTGGCCCCATTAGCCCCGCTGGCCTTGTTAGCGACCCGCTGGCCCCGTGCGCCCCGCCGGCCTTGTCCATCCCGCTGGCCCCGTTAGTGCCCCGCTGGCCCCGTTGATCCCCGCTAGCCCCGTGGGCCCTGCCGGCCTCGTTTGCTCCGCTAGCCCTGTTCGCCCCACTGGCCCTGTTCGCGCCTCGCTGGCCGCGTGCGTGCCCCGCTAGCCCCATCGCGCCCCACTCGCTCCGTGCGCCCCGCTAGGCCCGTTGGCCCCGTTCGCCCCCTGCTAGCCCAGTGCGCCCCGCTAGCCCTGTGCGCCCCGCCGCCCCCAGCTAGCTGGCCCCTCCCTCGCCGGCCCCTAGTGCCACCGGCCCCTGCTCCGTCGGCCACAGCCCGCACCGGCCCCGCACCGGCCAGCCGCCGCACCGCAGTGCCGCCGAGCCGCCGTGTCGCTGTGCCTACGTGTCGCTGAGCCGCCGCGTTGCTCTGCCGCCCCGGACCTACACCGGGCTTGGCTCCCTTCTGCGCTGGCACATCTGCCGGCTGTCTCCACCGTTCTCCACCACTCTCCACCGCACTCCACCGCACTCTGCCGTTCTCCACTACCCTCGACCGCTCTCCACCGTACTCCACCGCACTCCACCGCACTACACCGCACTCCACCGCACTCCGCCGCTCTCCAATGCTTTCCTCTGCCTTTCCTCCTTTCTCTGTCAGCGGCAGTCAGCTTCTGCAGCTGTGGTGATGGCGGACTCACAGCTCCGCCTAGACGCGGAGGGTCGGGCGATAGACTTCGAGGCATGGCTCGTCAACCTCTGCCGTCACCTTACAGGTCAGCGCCAGAACAGTCACTTCCTAGTTGTTCATGTCGATGGCCTGCTTCCCTGCTGTGAGAGTACGACCCCGTTACACCACTTGGCCTTTTTTCTCCTTCCTTCCTATTTTCATTTCTCTTTTTATCTCATCTCATTTGGTTTCCTATTCTCCCTTTTCCATTAACCTTTGGTTTATCCTGCTATTATAGTTATATCACCGACCAGGCTTGGGATGTACTGGGCGCTATATCTAGCGTAATCCTGCCGTAATCCCTTAAAGCCAATAGCCTCGCGTGGCTATACGCAGGGTGATTCTATCTTCTAGAAGGGTCTATTCCCTTATGATAAGATAAACCTGGTTACCTGATGTACTCTGGAAGTATAAAAACGCCTTGTACTGATCGATAGTGCAATCTTTCCTCGAGTCATTCGATCCTGTGACACTTGGTAATCAGAGCTTTTCTCACTCGGCCGCGCTCAACAAAGCAGCAGCAGCGGGAAAACCTACCTCGAAAAACCGCCGGGGGCGACCAATTCGACACCGATTCTGGTAAGCACCAGCTCCGCGATTTTTGAATTACCCCCTCCGTGCGTGTTTTGAACAGGATGGCAACCTTCGACAACGCCGAGGTTACCCAGCAGCTCTTCGCGCGCATCGCAGCCCTTCAGGAGGAGATGCGAGCGGATCGCGAAGCGTGGCGAAACGAATTCGAGCGAGTAACTCGACTCGCCGGAGTGCAGCACGACTTGACAATGGCGACGACGCAACAGTCACAGCAGTTTCTCGAGGCTCCGAAACCGCGCCCACCTGAGCCGTTCGATCCAAGCGATCGAAACTCTGACGCTCGCAGATGGATCGCCGGGATGGAAATCTACTTCGCAGCCGTCGAATGGAGCTCGCCAGTCTGGGACGGTCAAAGCGTACGACTCGCGGCGACACTGATGCGAGGGCCGGCACTCGAGTGGATTGGCGGCAACAGTACCTTCATCCACGGTGAAGCCACGTGGCAGCAGTTCCGCGCCGACCTGCTGAAACGCTTCGAGCCGATAAATTCCAGTTTCCTTGCCCGGGAAGAAATTCATCGACACCGACAGTTCGGGAGTGTAGCGCAGTACACGCAACAGATGGAGGAATTTTATAACCGCATTCCCGACCTGACCGAAGGGGAAAAAGTACAATCGTACCTCGCCGGGCTGAAGACCGAAGTCAAACGACAAGTGGCAGCGTCAAACTACGCGAGCTACAGTGACGTCGTTTCGGCAACGGAGCACTTCGACATGGTCAACGCCGGAACACGACGGACGCACGTCGGCACTACGCGACAGGGCGACCGCTCGGCTCACCCCACGTTCGCCGACCCGATGGAAGTCGACAGGTTCGAGGGGCGGCCACGTCCGAAAAACACAAACTACACGTGTGATTTTTGCGGGGTGCCGGGTCATCGAATCTTCGACTGCAACAAAATGAAAGCCGCACGCGCAGAGTATCGGGCACGCAACAGTGGCGGGAATCCTTCGGCCAATCAGAAGCCAAAAAACGGGAGTCGCCAGTGATTGCGGATCTAGCTGGCGAAAATAAAAAGATCCGAAAGCGGCCGCGGGATTCCGGGAAAATCAACTTCGACGAAGCTGATTCGACGCGAGAAGGAGGAAATGATGGGGGAAAATCTCCACCCCACGACCAGTCATCGCCAGGGAAAATCGCCCAGGAAAAATCCGACTCCGTGAAAAAAGACTCTGCCGAGACGGGGAAAATCCTTGAAGACCCAATAAATCATAAGGATTCGTTAAAGCTGTCCTATAAAGATGCTTTAATGAAAACTTATGATTTTCGAGGGGCTAGAGCCTTGGAGAAATTTCGGGAGGGACTCCAAAAGAAGCAGACAGCTGTGGAGATTATACCGGTACCGGACAACTTGGGGACCAAATTAAGGAGTGTGGAAAGAAGCCGACCTTTCCACGAAGTCAACGTCCTCTCCCGACACCAGCCCACAATGACTACCCGTTCCCCAGGGAAGGCGTCGGTGGAGCTTAAGCAGCTCAAGAGGAAGCTGGGGATCTACAAGAAGCTGCACAAACCCCGAACTCCTCCTCCGGATGCATCCAGCTCT